TTGCGTTGACAACAGCAACCACCTGATAGCTGTTCGAGCTCGCTGCTGTTGCTGCTGCTGTGATCCTGTTGTTTCTGTTGAAACTCTGTTGCTGCTGCTGCTGCTGCTGCTGCTGCTGTGTCTGCTGCTGCTGTCAGGGTCCGGGGGAGTTTTAGGTTGTATGCGGCAATGAGCTAGCTGTGTGTACACCCGACGACAGCTGAGCTGCTGGCGGTGTAGACAAAGGGCCTGCAACCGTCTTCTTCTGCTGCTCTTTTTATATTTATTTTTTGATTACTGTGAAGATTTTGGGGTGTCTGTACACCGCGGCGTTGACGAGGTGTATGTACACCGCAATGCTCCCCTGAAACGAACGAACTTCTGTGCGTGTGCAGTTCAAGTTCCCGCTGCCTTCGGTGGCGGGGGCAGCAGAAATAAGAAAAGATGCAGTAGAAAAGAAGTTTATAAATAAAGAGAACAAAAAGAAAAAGGAAATATAAAGAGTAGCAACAACATATACAGAAGAACTACAACTACCGATCGAGCTGCTTGCTGCTGCCTGGCTGGGGGGAGAGGAGCCCTCACTCGCCTCAATACTAGATAAGGGTTTCAGGGGCTGCTGATGCGGCTCCATGCACAGAATTAAAAAAAAGAGAAAACCCAAAGAAAAGCGGTTACTGGGGCTGCAGAGAAGCCCCCACAAAGCGCAGCGCGGCTGCTGAAACCTCATACACAATATACAAGAAGCAGGAGGCGGCCGCTGCTCGTTAAAGTTTACGGGATTTCGCCCTTCTCTTTTGATATTATAGCGCTAATTAAAATTAAATTAATATTATTTATTTGAAAAAAACAAGAAAAACCGTGGATAAATGGATTTGATATGATATAAACAACGACCCTCACCGTTGCCGGTGCTGCACTGCTGCTACACCGCAGCTGTCCATACACTTGAAAATACTGAAAAACCGAATTTTTGATTAAAAACTCTCAAGAAATTCAATTTTTGATGTCTTATTTGGCGTTTTTGTGATTTTTTAGGGCTATTCATTGCCTCTAGCCGCGGCGAGACA